GTGATATACTAGCCTTCCAATTCTTCATTAAAAAATTAAATTAAAAATTTGACTAAATTATTTAGTGTATATAACTTTACACCAAATTTAGTAAAAAAACTTTATAAACTATTACTAAAATGTTTACGGGTCACAACATTTTACGACGCCCCTGTTACACAATACAATAATGAAATACAATGTTTAAACAATATACTATTACTTAGTAAAATTGGAACCTTAAATTGTAACTTTGAAATGTTATCTATACCACAAAAACAAAGCCCCGCCGGGTGGGTTATGATCTAGTTCCTTATTACATTGACTTAGTTGGGCGCTACAAGCTCAGCTCCCAGGTACAGTGGCAAACTTAACATCACTTTGCCATGTTATCATCAGGTTGAATAAACTTAAATCATGTCTTCTGCAGGCACGGAACAAAACTGATGGAGCTAGGCAAAAGGTGGTGCAGGAAGCGTAAAAGGAACTTGAGAGTGTGAGGCAAGAGGCATTACAGAGAAAGAAAGCCGAAAAGAAGAGATTGTTGGAGGAGGCAGAGGCAAAGCTTAGCGGTGAGGCTCTGACGAAGAAAGAGGCAAAGGAACGTGCACGCCAGATGAAGAAGTCTATGCCAAGATGAGTCGTGGTCACTAGACACTCAAAGCATTGGGAGGTCGTCTCTCTAAGGTTACGCATTCTCATGTTTGCCATTGGAATAGATATTTTATTCCTCTATTTCGTTTTTAGCCTTTTCGATTAGATCTTTTCTCTTTACTTTCATGAACCTTCACTTGCACCGAGGTTTCATTTGTTATTAACTGTAAGTTACATTCTTATTCTCAGTTAGTCATTGCACTAATAAAGAAAAGAGAGTTACAATTGGAGCATTAATGGCATAAGTTTTCTCTTGATTGCAATTTAAACGTCACCTCGTCTATGCGAAGGTCAGAGCTCAAGACTTTGTACCTAATCTCACTTACAGAGCGTTACACTGAGCTCCAGCGACAGTTGTAGCCACCAAGCTGGGTAGAAGTCTGCAACAAAGACATGGATCTCGTCATTATACTATGCTTTTGTTACATATATACAAATGTTTGTATACATCATTAAGATACTCATATATACAAATGCTTTCTATACATCATTAATAATTTGAAAAACTAAATGATCCCCCATTATACCTCCATTCAGTACCAATTAGTTTTACATTGCATAATTTCTCACATGTACTATTTAGTCTCTTAACGATGAACATGTTATTACTTTAGGGATTCTATTAATTATCAAGGTAGGAAAGTTTTAATCTTTGGGTAATTAATTTAAGTGAAGATGAAACCAAACATGCAACATTCCAGTGCTAAGGCATCAGTCTCTGTGGAAAAGCGTCTTTAAATTCAAGTGGTGTGAACTGCTTACAGAAGCTATCACTCTCCTCTTCAGAACAGGTGAAGTGGAATAGTAAATCAAGGTCAGACTGGTCAAATTGTTGCAGAGTTACAGAATAACTCAGCAGGTTAGAGAAATAATCCACGCAGTGCTCCTCTAGCCTTATCAGGTTAGAGAGAGTTTCCAGTTTTTCTGTAAAAATAGAAAACTAATATTCAACTTTTAATCCCAACATATACTAATATTCAGTTTTTGAATCATCCATAGAATAGCTAATGAAAATGTTATCAACTAATCCAAATAAGATACACTATGTGAATTGACTTTTATTCTTTAACAAAAAAGACATGTTTTATCTAATCAACAAAATATCACATCCTCCCCAAGAGAAGGAAAGCTTCTTGATCTCTCTGATATTCATTTTTTTCATCAGTCTTCTTCTCATCACAACGATAAGAAGAAGACATGGAAGATCACTCTATAATATCTCAAGAAGACATGGAGGATCACTTTGCATTATTATCTCAAGACTATATGGAGGAAGATCACGTGGTAACATCAGAAGAAGAAGACCAGATGGACCCAGAAGACGAGGTGATCATCTCATACTATCTGAACATGATGATCAACAACCGCAAATCCTGGCCTAAGCACTTCCTCCAAGACGAAAAAGCAAACGTGTACAACACGAATCCATCGAGTTCCTTCTTCTATACTCCGAGCTCTGACTACTACTTCATCTTCGTCAAAAACAGAAGAAATTCTTGCGGTGGAAGTGAATCTGGCTGCTGGAGGACCATGGCCCGTGATAAACTGATCAAGAACGAGGAGACCGGGAGGATTCTAGGGTTCAAGAAGATTCTCATGTACTGTGAAAAAGGGGAAGAAACGATCAGAGGAAGAGATCATGTGGGTCATGGAGGAGTACAGGCTCGTCGATAAATGGAAGCAAGATCAAGTGATTTGCAAGATTAGGGTTTCGCTACAGCCTGAGGTTACTTCCTTGCTCGCCAAGCAACTCTCGTTTCTCCCTAAATGGATCATACCCTTTTCTAGAAGAAGTCTCTTGCCGAGATGGGATCAAGGGTGAGAAAACAGAACCGGTTTACAAGTTTTGGGGAGATGAGAAGTTTAAAGTGAATGAGGATAAGGTGACTTGGGTAATGGATGAGTATAGGTTGGCTAAGAAGAAGATGCAAGGTAAAGTGATTTGCAGAATTAGGCTTCTTTTCCCAATGCCACTAAATGTTCATGTTCGAGATTTATAAGGAGGAATTTTAGGATTCCAAGTCATTTAGATCTCTTACATCAGATTCTGTTTCTATTCCTCTATTTTCTCTCTTTTGTGTATTTTATGAAAAGTATAAAGTTTCAAAGATACAATTTCTAAGGGAAAATAATAGCGATGAAGGAATCACTGCAACATATTATTACGTATTAAAACATACTCTGCAACAATATTGTGCTACTTTGTAACGTCAAAAGACTGACAAAGGGAGAAAGATAGATAACTATTTATAACTTTGTTGTTGTTTAATTTAAAAGTTTTATCTAGAATGTGAAAATCACCATTTAAGGGTAATCAGAGGCAAGCTTAAGAAACTCATTCATCTCCAGCAGATCTCTAACGTATTGGGTTGCAATAAGAGAAAGTGCAGATCCCCCAATTGCTATTCCGGTGTATACAGCCACTGTCTTGATTTTATCCATGCCGAAGGCGTAAGCTTTGGCAAATGAGAGAGAGGTGACGCAGACAAGAGATGCAGCAATGACAATGGCAGCTTCATAGTGTCGTCCATTGTCAGTTATCTTGTAAGAGAATCTGTACAAGAGAGGAGGGATCACACCAAAGAAGATGAATGAAACAACAACAACGATACAATGGAGTATGACATTGTTTCTGTTTCCCAACAGTTCCTCGTAGGGATCTGTTGCTTTCTCATCCGTCATATGACCAATTTTGGCATATGGATAAATTGGTTTAGACGTTACGAGTCCATATAGCTGCCAAAAATGTATAACGATTTGTAAGTGCAAGTGGTTGGGACACATGAGAAGAAAAAAACAGAGCACGGACTCCATTAACTCAAGTATGAAAATAACTTACGTTGTAAATGATGATACAAAGGCCACTGAATAAATTGGCTAGCCCTAAGGAAATAACGTGGACTGCAAGCAAAGACAATATAAAATAGTAAAATTTTAGATGAATAAAGAAACTCAAAAAAAAAGAAAGAAAAGAGAGTCCATGTCAGTATTTGTGTGTACGTACGAGTTGAAGTTCCTGATGCAGAAGCGGATGATACAACACCGAAGCTTGTGATGGACTCAATTAGTCCGCCGTACACAATACTCTTCAAGATGTCTAGCTCTGTTTGTAAGACAATTTGAACTAGAACCACAATGTGTTTCCACAAGAAAGGTGGCGAGATCTTTGTCTCTGTATCTGACCGACCATTTGTTTTGTTTCCTGGAGTAGAAAGACCTTCAAGGACCTCTTTTTTGTCTTCTGAACAATATCAATGAACAAAAAGATGACAAGAGAGCTAGAGCAAATCATCATCGTTACTTATTAAGGATAAAGTATCCCACTTCGGAAAATTTAATGGGATCAATCCACTTATCACCCCAAATAGTTTTAAACTGGAAGCCAATAATAAAAACCGAATCTAACATTACTGAATTAGAAGAAAGAGTATGTAAAATGGAAGTAACCTGGTTTTCTTGTAGAAATCTGCGCTTCACCGTTTTGTAAAATTTCCATATTTGGTAAATTTGCAACACTTTCAGATTTTTTCCCCTTGGTACGGGAAATGAAAGACCAGCACAGAGCCAGAATGGCCAATGACAGCAGCAACGAGATAAGAAAAAGGACAATGTTACTTGGGAAATCTTTGTCCAAGGGAACCCAGCAGCCTCCTTTGTTCTTTATCGGTGGCGAGACATCAGAACCATGTGATTTTAGATTACCTTGGATCTCTGAAACATTGGTATGTGGCTGTGGTAGTAATGGTGGCAGAGAAGGTGGGACATGTATATCGTCAACATCTGAAACATGTTGTGGCTTTAGACGACCCTTGATCGCTGTAACATCTCCTTTGTTCTTTATCGGTGGCAAAACAGGTTTATCGTCTTCTACAATATCAGGATCTTGTGGTTTCAGATTACCTTGGATCTTTGAAACGTCTTCTGCAGGAAAATTGGGTGCAGAGATTAAAGTTTTATCGGTATGTGACTTTGGTAGTAACAGTGGTGGAGAAGGTGGGACAGGTATATCGTCAACATCTGAAACATGTTGTGGCTTTAGACGACCCTTGATATCTGTAACATCTCCTTTGTTCTTTATCGGTGGCGAGACAGGTTTATCATCTTCTACAACATAAGGACCATGTGGTTTCAGATTACCTTGTATCTCTGAAACGTCTTCTGCAGGAAAATTGAGTTCAAGGATTAAAGTTTCATCGGTATATGGCTTTGGTAGTAACAGTGGTGGAGAAGGTGGGACATGTATATCGTCAACATCTGAAACATGTTGTGGCTTTAGACGACCCTTGATCGCTGTAACATCTCCTTTGTTCTTTATCGGTGGCAAAACAGGTTTATCGTCTTCTACAATATCAGGATCTTGTGGTTTCAGATTACCTTGGATCTTTGAAACGTCTTCTGCAGGAAAATTGGGTGCAGGGATTAAAGTTTCATCGGTATGTGGCTTTGGTAGTAACAGTGGTGGAGAAGGTGGGACAGGTATATTGTCAACATCTGCAACATGTTGTGGCTTTAGACGACCCTTGATATATGTAACATCTCCTTTGTTCTTTATCGGTGGCGAGATAGGTTTATCGTCTTCTACAACATAAGGACCATGTGGTTTCAGATTACCTTGTATCTCTGAAACATTTTCTGCAAGAAAATTGGGTGCAAGGATTAAGATGTCATTGGTATGTAGCTGTGGTAGTAACAGTGGTGGAGGTGGGACATGTATATCGTCAACATCTGAAACATGTTTTGTCTTTAGTCGACCTTTGATCTCTGTAACATCTCCTTTGTTCTTTATTTGTGGCGAGACAGGCTTATCGTCTTCTACACCATCAGGACCATGTGGTTTCAGATTACCTTGGATCTCTGAAACATTTTCTGTAGGAAAATTGGGTGCAGGGATTAAAAAGTCATCGGTATGTAGCTGTGGTAGTAATGGCGGTGGAGAAGGTGGGACAGGTATATCGTTAGCATCTGAAATATGTTGTGGCTTTAGACGACCCTTGATGTCTGTAACATCTCCTTTATTCTTTATCGGTGGCGAGACATGTTTATCATCTTGTATAACATCAGGACCATGTGGTTTCAGATTACCTTGGATCTCTGAAACATTTTCTGCAGAAAAATCGGGTGCAGGGATTAAACTTTCATTGGTATGTGGCTTTGGTAATAATAGTGGTGGAGAAGGTGGGACAGGTATATTGTCAACATCTGAAACATGTTGTGGCTTTAGACGACCCTTGATATCTGTAACATCTCCTTTGTTCTTTATCGGTGGCGAGACAGGTTTATCGTCTTCTACAACATAAGGACCATGTGGTTTCAGATTACCTTGTATCTCTGAAACATTTTCTGAAGGAAAATTAGGTGCAGAGATTAAGATGTCATCGGTATGTAGCTGTGGTAGTAACAGTGGTGGAGGTGGGACATGTATATCTTCAACATCTGCAACATGTTGTGGCTTTAGATGACCCTTGATATCTGTAACATCTCCTTTGTTCTTTATCGGTGGCGAGACAGGTTTATCGTCTTCTACAACATAAGGACCATGTGGTTTCAGATTACCTTGTATCTCTGAAACATTTTCTGCAGGAAAATTGGGTGCATGGATTAAAATGTCATCGGTATGTGGGATTAAACTTTCATTGGTATGTGGCTGTGGTAGTAATGGTGGTTGAGAAGGTGGGACAGGTATATCGTCAACATCTGAAACATGTTGTGTCTTTAGACGACCTTTGATCTCTGTAACATCTCCTTTGTTCTTTATTTGTGGCGAGACAGGCTTATCGTCTTCTACACCATCAGGACCATGTGGTTTCAGATTACCTTGGATCTCTGAAACATTTTCTGCAGGAAAATTAGGTGCATGGATTAAACCGTCATCGGTATGTGGTGGGGGAGATGGCAGGAGCGGTGGTATAGGTATATCGTCTACTACAACATCTGGCTTCAAGTGACCTTGTTTCTTTGTAACATCTTTTATAAAAGTTTTGGGTTCAGGGATTAAACTTCCATCGATATCTGGTCCAGGTGGTGGTGGTGGTGGAGAAAGCCGGATAGGTCTATCTTCTATTACAGCATCCGACACATGTGGCTCTAGATCACCTTGGATCTCTAGAACATCTTCAGTAAAATTTCTTGGTCCTTGATTTAAAATTGTTGAACTTACATTGGTATGTAGTTGGGGCGGTGGCAGAGAAGGCGAGATATGTTCCACCACTTGGGGAACATGTGGCAGAGAAGGCGAGATATGTTCCACCACTTGGGGAACATGTGGCTTCATATGACCATGGATATCTATAACATCTTCTTGTAATTTCTGCGCTTCAGGGATCACAGTTGTTGCATCTCCGTTGGTATTTGGTGGGGGTAATGGTGGAATTTTCGGAGAAAATAAGACCCACAAAGTAATGACTGATAGCAATACCAGAACTACAACCAATAGGTGCCACAACCAGTCCAGGATATGTTTTCTGGGCGTCTCAGCTACGACACTATGTGTTGGTTCTGAAGCACCTGAATTTTTTTGTTAATGGAGAATCAACCAGTCAAACATTTTCATTATAAGCATTATAGAAAGTAAATACATAGTGTCTACATCATATCATATTTTTATAAGAAAGCAGTATGTATACGTGTGTTTACATACCTGGAGTGTTGTTATATAACCATGGAAGGTAGATGAAAGGGTACTTGAAGGAGAAAACTATAACAAACCACCATATGAATTTATCTTCATTGTAAGGAGAACTCGCTTCTCTCTTCTTTTTAAAGAGTTTAGCAGTTTTTGTGATGTTGTGAAAACATTTTGAGCAGTAGAGTTCATGAGTTTTCTGCATTTGTATCTCATTCAGCATATCCTCAGGACTTTTCTTGTTGTCTACATTCTTCCAACATTCATCATCTTCGCCCACCAACTGTTTATGTTCTTTATTTGCCTCTAGTTTCAGATCCATATTTTATATTATTGCTGCTTATTCCTACGCAAAGTATAACAAAATTGGTCTCAAGTAAATACTAATTTTGACTTCAACAGTTTCTTCATTCTGATTATTCAAAAGAATGATATTTTTGCTAAACATTTCCTAGTTTTTTTTTGCTTCTGGAGGTGCACATCAACAACACACAAGGTAATTAAACGTGCAATATCCGTTCTCTTTGACACCCATAAGGCTCAATTTTTAATATAAAATCAATGTAAAATAGTTAAATACATCAACATATCAATGTCCTAAAAACAATGAATATGATAATATATTTTCTATCTAGTTTACTTTAAGGGGGGTGTATTGAACTTAGGATTTTAAAAGGTTCTGGAATTTGCTTAAAACTCCATGTTATTCAACTGATGATTTTAAAATTAAAATCCAAATCATGTGTTATTGAACATAGAACTTATCTGAAATCATCTCAAATCACTTGTAATTTCATGTTATTCAATCAATAATTTATAAAAATGAAATCAAATTCAGTGTTATTCAAAGCTAAGTACTACTTTGAAAGAAAAGTTGTGAATTGGATTTTAGAATACTTTACATCCAGTTTTAGTTATAAATTGTCGGTGTAGAAAACTCACCTTTGCATATGTTATTTGAACAGACTTCATAAGAAACAATTGGGAAACAAAATTGCAGAATTATTTCAGATCCGTTTTTTCTTATGTTGAAACATAAATATAATCCGTCATTCTCAATTATTTTCTCCCTCAATCTCTCTCGTATAGATCAATTGCTTCCCTAACCTTGATGGTTGAGCCATGATAAATTGACACGAAGAATCTCGAACTGGGTTTCTGTCGATGATACTGTGAGAGCATTCAGAAAAGAAACCTGCAGTGACTCGTTGCCACACCAGGCTGTCTCATTATTCTGGTGCAAATTGTTGATCTGTTAGAATCTTTTTTATGGTTTTGGATGAACAACAGTCACCAGATTTCGAGAAAAAAAGATGATCCATCTGCTGCTGATTCGGGTCCCATAATTCCTTGATCGACATTCCAAAACTTAGTCTCCATAACTCTATCAGATACCATGTTCAGAGATTGAAGGAGAAAAGGATGAGGCCTTTGCCACTCAAAATTAAGAGAAGCTAGAGGGGTCACATGTTCTTAAGAGAAGCCTGAGATGAAGCTCAACAAAAGCCTCAGTCTTTTGTCGAGGAAGCCTCAAGTGACACTCTCTTTCTGATCCGAAGAAGACATAGGCTTTCTCAGCTCCATGACACCACCTTGTTATTCCTGCTGTTGAATGTGCTGCACTGCTGCTGCTGTCAAATGAAACTAATACAGTTAGTCAACTAGCAGCATCCACAACTAAACCGACGTTTTTGAGAAGAGATCATGACCATCCTGCAGGTGAACTTGTTGCTCCATTGATGGTACTCGGAGTTTCAGCTCATTGTTTTCAACACTCAGGCCATTTGTATCTCGCTGAAGAGAAGAAGGAAAATCTAACAAGATTAAAACCATATACTTGCAAACCCTAGAATCATATTTTTGTCTGCAGGGTCCCTACAGATTGATATAACAAACCTGTAAGAGAGTCAACTACGCTGAGAGAGATGTAACCTCTGTTTGCAAAGTCTGTACTTTTCTTTCAAGATCTGATATGTATCTCATCTTCCTTTCCTTTACTTTTCTGAGAGTTTAGCAGCAGAGAGAGCTTTCTCATTTTTAGAATCAACTCCTGAAAATTTTCCATTATTCCCAGACATAAGCATCTCAGGCACCACTACACATTTGTAACTGCAGAGGCACTAAAAAGGCTGCAGTTTTACATAGTAGCTACAAAATTCTATGAGTCTTGCGAGTTACTTAAAAACTTCTTGCTGAGACGACATTCCTTATAATCTTCCATCACATAGATATTTTTTAATGGGACTCTTTATTAATATTGAATCATGTTCTCATTTCAATAATCACCTAAAGAACTCTGAAATATTTTGAAAAAATCTTACCAAATCACCTATAGATTTGTTTTTAATTTTTAAACTTTAAATGAAATCACTCAAATAACTATAAAACTCACCTAAATCCTACCAAAATTAAAACACTCCAAAACCCTTTAAAATCCTAAGTTCAATACACCCCCCTAAGAAAAAAATGTATCTAGTTTACTTTTAGATCTCGCTGGGATTTGATTATATCATACAGTTAAAGTAAACTAGTGACAAAAGAAAAATGATAATATATTTTCAATGAACATGATAATATATTTTCTATCTAGTTTACTTTAAGAAAAAAATGTATCTAGTTTACTTTTAGATCTCGCTGGCTTTTTATTTTTCTTTGTTTGTCTTAAATGCTAAATAATGAAGAAACCAAACTTGTGACAGAAGAAAAATGAAAAACCCAAATTACAATGTACGACCAACTCTACCAAAATACGTATCCTAAAATCAGGGCCGGCCTTGAGATTTCTAACGATTTCAACTAAAATTCTTTTTTTGTCGGATTTAGAGGCCTAAATTTTTTTTCCCAAAGGTCTATATACATACAACTTTTTCTAAAAAAATTGGGGGTACAAGACGAATGTTTCACCCAGCTTGCCCCATGACCGGCCCTGCCTGGAATGTTGAATATACACCATGCATGAACCTATTACTATGCAGACATCTTTTGTTAAACAACTATGCATGCCTACAAATCGATATGAATATTAGGAAAGGATTAAACCAATGCATAATTTGCATTTTGTTTTTTTGCTAAACTGTAAATATAATATAGATGATTATGATTTGCATTCTATATATACATGGTTACTATCGACGTAAACTATGATGAGGAAGAACCAGGGATACTTACCTAAATGCGCATGATCTGCTGAATTCGAACTGTCTCCCTTTGGTCTATTTGAAGACGGTGACGAGTTGATGAAGAAGAAGAAATAACCCGGGATACTTACCTGAATGCTCACGACTTGCTTCATATATTTGTTCTTATTTTTTTATTGATTATTATTTTTTAACTGGCAAATATTGTTTACGACTTATAGTTTTTGTTTGACTTGGGGAATGCTACCAGATGCTAGAGAAAAGTGCTTCGAATTTGAGTGTTATTTTTATTAATTATGTATTTGACGCTTCATTTCTCTGCATTTGTTTTTCTTCATAGTCGTATTTTTTAATCTACCGTCAAATACGAATATGGTGACGGTTTGACGATGACAATTGCCAAAGACAGAACAAGAGGATACTTGTTTATTTTCTCACATATTAATTGACCCTAATATTAATTGACCTTGCTAGTCTCCTTAGATTGTAAGAAATGGCCATATTGCAATTTTTTTCCCCGTCATTGATGAAGACTCCTTTTCATTGTTTATGACTTTCGGATATATTGTTTACGATTCTAGTTTTTGTTCTACTTGGAGAGTGCTAGAGTTGTACATTTCCTATTAACAACTAATAAGAGACATATAATATAAGACCAATGTTCTTAGACTCGATCCATACAATAAACCAGATAACGTTTTAGATTGGGTTACTGATAGCTGGGTCACTGGATTTAAAAGTTTATAGTGAGTTTTAATGGATTTTAATTAGTGCATATTTTAAAAAAAAATCAAACCGGATTACTTACTGAGTCACAAATTTGCCGGTCCGATCGTGGATCCGGATCGGCGTCAAAACACTGTATAAGATTTATTTTTGGATTTATCATCTAGGATAAACCTCTAAATTCACCAACCAATAAAATTATGTTGTTATATATTTTTTTAAAAGGAAATAAAATATTGTCCAATTATATTATGTTTAAAAAGGTAAAAATAAATAAAAATAGTAATAGTTGCAAAAAAAAAAAAATTTCTTTTACATTTTTAACACCGTCAGCAACACACTAAACCTTTGGAAAAACCGTAAGCCTTCGGATAAATCTTAAATCCTAAATCAAAAACACTAAACACTACATCTTAGAAGCACTAAACTCTTAATCCTATCCCTCCTACCCTTGGATAAATTTGAAACCTTAGGATTTATGGTTTATCCAATGGTTTAAAGCTTAGTGTTTAAAAATTAGTATTTAATATTTATGGTTTAGTGTATTGTTGACGGTGTAAAAAGTATTTTAAATTTTATTTATTTGTATCTATGGGTTTAGGGATAGGATTAAGTGTTTACTGTTTAGAATTTTATATTTAATATTTAATATTTATTCAAGGGTTTATGGTTTACCCAATGGTTTAAGGTTTAGTGTTTTGCTGATGGAGTTAAAAATGTTAAAAATATTTTTTATACAACTATTACTATTTTTTATTTTATTTTTATTTTTTTATTTTAAAAACATAATATAATTTGATAATATTTTGTTTCTTTTTTAAAAGAATTCTAAATATGCAATAACATAATCCTATTGGTTACTGAACCTAAAAATTCACCTTAAGCACAAATTAAATACACTAAAAAAGAAGCCACAAGAAGTACACAGCTTCTTAAAATCATACATACAAATATTTGTGAATCTTTTGACGTTCCAACTTTCCGAGGTGGAAAATACTCATTACCTTTATCGATAATTATACACGTTATTGCTATCTCTATCTAGTGTATGAAAAATCTCAATCGGTAGATGATATATAAGTAGGGGTGGGCACGGATCGAATATCTGAGTTTTTAAGGTATTTGTGATTTTCTTCGAATGTTATGGATATCTAATTTTGGTATTTGCTTTGCTTAGAAAAAATGTGGATATCCGGAAAAACGGATATCCAGAAAATAAATAGATATTTGCGGATATTTACGAATATTTACACATATCTCATCTATTTTGATTAATACAAATAATCTTAAGGTTTTGATATAAATTGCTTTGCAAAAATATTTTTTTGCATGATATATAAAATAAAAATTAAAAGATAGAATTTACATTTTTTTAATTTTTTTAAGTTTAAGTTACAATTATAATAACACAAAATTTAAGGGAACAAATATAATTGTCATAAAAAATTCTCTGTTTTATGTAATACTTTTATATAAGTAATAATGTGAATAGAATTTTTCATAATCATGTTCTAGAATAATAATTATATAATTTTAAAAGTTTAAATATAATCAAGATATACATATATTTATATATTTCCGGATCGGATCGGATATCCGTTTCCCAAAATTTTAATATTTGTGATTTGCTTCGATTTTAACAGATATTGAATTTTGGTATTTGCTTTGATTAGAAAATTTACGGATATCTGGAATTTTCGGATCGAAGCGAAACAAATAACGAATCAAATCAAATATAACCGATAAAATGCCCAGTTCTATATATAAGTATTTATTATTGAAGTAGAGAGACAATTAGATAGAAAGATGAAAATCATTAGGTCTGACAGATATGATGAATTTTATTTATGAAACATGACAACATCCTAGACCATTTGTCAAACTTCTCTAGAAATTAGGAATCGTTGTTCAATACATAACACCTGATTTTGCATGACAAAAGAGTGTAGCTGAAAAGTGTAAGAAGGGTGTAGCTGAAAAGTGTAACTGTACTTAAATGAGAATGGTTAGATTTATGATAAATCATGCTAATTTACTTATATTTTTGTGAATGGATGCATTACGTACTAAAGTCTATAAACAAATGCAAGAAAAAAGTACTTCAAATTTGAGTGTTTTATTTTGGTTTGAGATCATAAACAAATAATATATTATTCTTGGCCAGACATAACCCTCTCATTATACATCTGTTTAAAATTATCAAAAGTCTCAAATCTTGCTTTTTTTTTTGTAATATGCATGTACGAAACTAACTTAGGACCTGATAAGCATCTGATGAGCAAACACTTGCACACTTCTGAAATAATGACGAGGTCTTTCTTTAATCAAATGACCGCTGATCATAGTCAATTGCTTAAAGATTAGTACAAGATGTGATAAAATAAAATAAAACTTTTAATTAAAAGCTATAAGATTCAAGTCACGGTTAGATATTTTAAGAAAACAATGATTTAATTAGTTTAATCAAAAATCCTAGTGTTACAAAAAAAAAGTTTATGTTTTCCTTTGAAGTTTTTTTTTTTTAACGCCCCTTTGAAGTATTTATTTCTCGTTTTCTTTTGCTTGTTCTCAACCCATCTACTCTATTAAAATAGAGTCATTTTTTTTATCTACTGATACAAGTTATTATTTAAATTTGGACCATTTCTAGAATGTTACAAATAATATAAGTCATATAATTGATTGAATCATATTACTTAAATTAAACCAACACAGTTAATGTAAATAGACGACCATAATTTATGTGTATACGGCAGATATATACACAATTAACTCTACCTTCAAAATACGGCAGAAATCTATGTGTATACCAAAAACACATATTTTCTCCTACAAATATGGAATGTTCTAAAAGAATATATATCATCAAAATATGGAATATGAAAATCTACTAATTATACTTAAATTAAACTAGTGGTTATTTATGTAATATAGTCTTGGGCTTACTTTTATTTTTTGAACAAATTATATAGTTTGGTTTTTTAGCTTAGTATTAAGAAAAAAATCCAAAAACATTGAATAAACTTTTTACCTTAAAAGATCAAAAAATCAATTATATTTTCAGACCCAAAAGGTATTTAATATTTTTAACAAAAAAAAATTATCTATTATTAATCATTT